CGCAGTCCGGCCTTTGCATTTTATGGCCTGGCAACCCTAGCTGTGACAAACGTCAAGTAAGAAAGTGCGCGCATTTCGTTTTCAAAAAAATTTATAACCTGTCGTCGTATTTGTACCGGTGAAGTAAAAAATAAAAATAAATGTTGTAAGGGATTTACTATCACGTGAGTAAAGGTTTCCTACTAATTCTTTCACGAAATTGTGCAGTACTTATTAGTTTTCAGTCTACCATGTAGTTTTTGCTTGCCAGTTATTTCACATATTTTTTTTTGTAATATTTTATCTTCCAAGTGACCATGGGGCAGATTTGATCAAAACAAACGGGGCAGATTCGGAACAGGACGTTCAAATGCAAACTCCAAATGTTTACTAATACATATGTATTCTAAATGTAATACTTAATTGTAAATAAATGCATCACTATCTGTAGAAAGAGCGGAAAAGTACAATTAATGAAGAAAATGTCTAAAATGCTGTTTTATGCATCATCAACGAAACTATGAAACTTAGAAGAGCTGTAGATGCATATGGACTGACGCCGAGTACCTCTTATCAAGTTAAAAAACATCAAGAAAACCTAGCTCCAAGAAGTGAACTATTTTTAGAAACACATTTTTTGTGGTTTAGAAGTTTGATATTAAGTTTATTTTATGTTTAATTTTGCGTCTGAGGCAGTATAATATAATTATAATAACAATAAATTAAAACTCTTGTGCAATATGATTACTTTTGTTAACAAGGAGGAAGTCAAGGAAGAAGTAAGGCAAGATGTAACTTTAGAAGTTTCGTATAAGTTTATTTTATATTTTAATAAACATTTTCTATATTTTAGTATTGGTATTTTTTCAATCACGGTTCACGGTGATAACAGTATAACAAACATTAATATTGACGTTATTGCGATTAGTTGTAATAAGTAGTAGGAAATTGTATAATGTGACATCATTTTGACGACCTCCGTGGCCGAGTGGTTTGTACGCCGGGTTTCATGGTGTCGCCGACTCGAGAGGTCCCGGGTTCGAGTCCTGGTGGGGGCAGATGTTTGTGTGATGAATACGAGCATTTGTACTCCAGTCATGGATGTTTAATATGATTTTCTATATAAATCTACTTATATATGTTCTATCCGTTACCTTAGCATCCCATAACACAAGCCTTATAGTGCTTACTTTGGGGCTAGGCTAATTAGTGTGAGTGTTGGAAATATTTATTATTATTTATCATGTTAATCGATGAGAGAAAAATTATAGCACTGATGATATTTTTCAAAGCCGCTTCAGGCGTAATTACACAGGAGATGAATCAGAGCGCCGAACAATTATAATGCAATAACGTCTCCAATAAAATTTGTGTTGTTTTTCTTGTGCAATTGTATCTTAGCTTGCTGTAGAAGATTTTTGTTGCGACTAGATAGGTAATCATTGATATATATTTTTCCGTTTCAACAGAAAATCCCAAATTGCTTAGTTTTATTTCTTTTCTATGGCCCGATGAACAAAAAAAAACTTCCTGAAATACCCTACAATTCCACTGCGGTCGAAAAGAAATGAGCTACTGCACGAAAAATACTCTTGCTAATGGCCCCACAGCTTCTTTGCATTTTGCACAACGAGAAGAAGCGAAACCCCGTTGCCATTTGAGTATCCCTGATAACTAAATAAATACTACTTCTGGCATAGTATGACGTGTCTTGCTAACATAGTATGACGTGTCTTGTACCGCGCGTGAATGTTACTAAAATGAATACCAAATGATTCCTTGATAGTTGATATTAATATAAATAATAAATTATTCTTACATTCACACCAATTAGCCTAGCCCCAAAGTAAGCATAATGGGCTTGTGTTTTGGATCAAGGAGGTCGTCAAATGATGACATTTAGTTTACATTTTGATTACGTCCCTAATTCTTAGTCATATAATCTTTTAATATCATATTTTTATATTTTAATAAAAGTTATGAACATTGGGTTCATTATGACGTCTTTATTATTTTCACGTTATTTTTTAGCAAGCTCTTTCATTTAATACCCATATTTAAGGAGTGCATCAAAAATAACTAGTCCACCACCTTGTATATTCCGCCATATTGGATTTGGAATGGTTTTGTGATGCTGACCATGCATTATCATTCAAACTAAATGTGTACCTACCTCCTAAATAAATGATTGGTCTCACTTCATTCGACTAGATACCGCGCTGTCAAAAAACAACAGCTCCGTAAACGCGACAACTCATTATTGTAGTGTGTGTATGTTAATTTGCAAGGATGCTATCGAATGTCATAAATCGTGTAGCCAGCTGCTCAACTGTTACCTAAGTGAAAGGGAAAATATTGTAGGTTATAATTAATATGTAACAGGTTATAAATGTAGCTCATAAAATACTTAAAGAAGATGCACTTAATTAAATGTGAATATATCAATATTTTTGTGTACTTATACGATTAAGCGTAGCTTTCTTCTTCAGAAAAATGATTATGCCTCAATTTTAATATTATTTTTATTTACATGTTATATTGTATTATACTTCTACATTATTACATTAATTCAAGTGTGCTAAGTTGGTCACTACACATGAAATGTTATTGTAACTCGGAAAGGAAGCTGAGTGTGTAATAATGATCAATGCACACGAGCTGCATGCTACGTTTTTCAACACACTTGCGAGGAAAAAACAAACTTGTATTGTTAGTAACTGTTATAATGTCAACTGACCTTTGTTGCCAAGTACTGACTATCCGGAGCTTCCTTCTAAAACTTTTCAAATTCGAATGGTGACAATACTTTCAATATATACGTCAGAAAGTCTCTTTAGAAATGTCGTCAAGTTATTATATACGATTATATATCAACTGGCGGCAACAGCCTACCTCGCGTTTCGTTTCTCGGTAAGTATTTCCAGCGGTGTAAAATAATGTTGCTCTTATATATTATGGTTCAATAAAGGCACAGGAATACTTTTTAATAAAATTAGAACTGTCTTAAAAAAACAACTTGAAAAAATAAGATTTACCGACTGATATATTTGAAGTCGATCGATATTATTATCATGATTTTCCTGCTAAACAAATGCGTTGGTATCGACTTCAAGTATATGGGTCGGTAAATCTTATTTTTTCATTTAAATTATTTTGAAGTCTGTTCTATTTCTAGTAAAAATTATTTTATTTTTCTATTTTTAGTGTCATTCATACAGAATGCGCTACTAGTTGGAAATTGTACACGCGTAGATCCACCTGGCCAAAACCGTGGGACATTGCTAGTAAATTATATACTAAAACCTTCTTAGATAAATAAGGTGCTTTGGGGTAATTCCGAATTATTTTCTGATTAGTTGATATAAATGTTATGAATTATTTTTTTATTTCTAACTCTGCAAGATTTATAAGCAGCTGCTGTCAGTTATTTTAACAGAAATATATGTCCAACGTCTTTCGATAAGCTTTTCTTATCAATATTATCACATTACGTCAATTCAAGCTTTTAAAATTTGGTGTATTTTTTTATATTGATAGGTGTAATTAAAAGTCATATTTGTAAGCTCAAACTTAAGATTTCATTTACTTTAACATACGAATTTACCCCGCTTTGAAAGAAAAACTGATATCCTTTGTAGTTTGCCCAAACACACTTTTGATTACTTTGATTTTCGGAATTACCCCTCTTATAGTCCAGTGGTTCTAAACATTAAATTGTTGGTAAAAAGAAGTCTGATAGGACTAGTGCAATGCAACTATAGATAAGGACAGGCTTAATTGTACTAGGACTGTAGGAGAAAAAGAAACAAGTTAATAAATGAAAGAGTTCTTGTTTCACTTAAAACGACAGTTTCATATATTTTGGTTCTTTGAAAAACTTACATTTAACGAATAAAATAAATTAGATACTCAATAAATAACATAAATAAACGGCAGTACCAGGTTAATGTTAACTGTCGAAAACAAACAATATTATTTTAAATTAAAGAACAGATAAATAATAACGACAATTATTGACGAAAGGGTATGTAGGTTAATGTACTAAATCCTGTATTAAAAAAAGTAATCACAAAAACAAAATTTCAGCATACAAATCAGTAAGTAAATGGTTAAGAACTGTGTGTGTATGTGTGTGTTCATCCTTCAATACGGCTTGGATTGCCTTAGCCATATCATCTTGCGTGTATTTTGGTAGTTTTTTTCTTTTATAGTTCCGCGGTATTTTCTCCTGGAACAAAATTAGTTTTGTAAATATTTTATACTAGCTGTTGCCCGCGACTTCACACGCGTAAACTACTATTTTTGTATCCTACAGGAACTGTGTTTATTCCGGGATAAAAAGTAGTAGCCTATATGTTATTCCAGACCTAATCTATCTCTGTGCCAATTCATTTCATCCATATCCGTTCAGTATTTTTTGCGTGAAGAAGTAACAAACATACATACACCCTAACAAACTTTCGCCTTTATAATATGAGTGTGATTCATCTTCCGTATTAAAAACAACGTCACCTGACAATATTGGCACAGTTGTACTTCCAACAATTATTAAATAACAATGTATTTATTATTTATTCGATTTTAGTTTACTTATTTATTTAGTCGGAAACTGACAACTGATATGACAAAACAATGCATGCATATTCATTTAAAGTCAGCGCTCAGAATTTGTGAAACAAATTAAAAATGTTGACAAACACTGCAATTCATCAAGAAATAACATTTTGGGGTAAATTCGAAATCATTTTCATTCATAATCACACCTGCGGGGCATTTCCGAAAAAAAGTAAAATTGGTAGCTACTGTATCCTAACCTGTACAAAACAATGCCTAAATCGATAACCTATCATTCAAACAAACAATGAGGAAGATTACTTACCAAACAACAGAGAAAAAGATCTCGGGGTAATTCCGATGATTCACAAAACAATGAAACTATAGTCGCGTTAGAAAAATAAATGTTGTACGCATACGATCAGCACAAGCTTCATGGCAGGACTGACGCAAGGGAAAAAAATAAGATGGCGACCATATTAATGTTGCCAGAGCAAGAAATATTGACTACTTTGCTAGTAATTCATTATTTTCGGAATAAACCCTTTTTCGCCTTTACCCCAAAGCACCTTACCAATTTATATGCCGAAAACCCCATCAAATTCGGATCCGTAGCTTTGAGATTATCGTGGACAAATATACATTCATACAGGTCAAACTGAGAACAACCTTTTTTTGAGGTCTATTAAAATGCCGACTGCGCAGCCAGAGCAGCAGCAATATAAAAATTGAATAACGAATGGTATGAATAAATGTATACCTTTAGTTTATTTTATTGTTCTCAATACATTATTTAAGTTATTTTGTGCTTATAAATTTAAAATGAAATGTTTATTTGTCATCTTAACCCTAAAATAATTTACATAATTATGATGAAATAAAAAAAATATAATATATCACAAACGTAGTTAATAGGTATGCTGAATTGTGAAACCAAAAACTGTGTAATTGATAAGAATCAGTTTACGAGAAAATGTGTTAAATAATATATATAGATAATTTATTTCACTATGTAAACCGGCATTTTACTGTCGATGTTAATCCAAATTTTAATTAATCATTCGGCACGTAGGTACACCTCAGACACAACTGTCAGTCTCAGACCAAATAAAAAGTACTTTTTATTTGGTCTGAGCTGTCAGTGTGACTGGGTCGGTGAAGGCTCGGGTTCGCTGACCTCGGCGTAATATTTGTTGCTGCATATGACAAGTACGCCGGCGGTATCTAGTTGAGTAAAGCGAGAATAATCATTCATCTATGCTATGACTCACCTATACAAAATTGCAGCTCAATCGAATAAAGATATCTGCTACTACCCGATCAACATACTTACATTGCAAGTTAAATAAAAGCTTTTGAAAATAACCATTTATCATACTTTGACTCATAACATTAACTATATTCATATTTAACAATAGATGAAACAATGCAGTCCAAGACTCTTTTTACGCAGTTGGCTAAATGATGTTGGACTGGCGTGTTACTTTAACCGCGGTCTCCTTTCTTTTTTGGTTGTCAATAGAAAAGAAATACATTAGATATTGAAAGAACTATGAATTTATTATTATGTGCAACATTATTAGAAACGTAACTTTATGTCTATTTTTTTGAATTTCGATCTGGAAATGGTCTAAAAGAATTAATTTCGTTTTGTGCAGATTGTCGTTCGCATCTGGCATTAGTGACGCCACAGCATACGTCGCGTTTGCGTCATCATATCGTGAACAGCGCTCAAACGGAGAGGACGTGGGATGAAAGTGTGCAGTGCTTAATTAGAAACATTCTTATATTTTTTTCAAATGTTTCTAATATCGAAATTATAAAGTACAAAGTTATTAGGATAGGTAAGCATGTTGTTTCATAAGGTTCTTCCTTTTTTTTTTATGATGCTTTCGTTAACAAGTTGTCCTAATTCTTGTTGTTTTTCAGGTTCCTCGTAGAGGCGCCGCCATCATGGCGTCGGACGAACAATTTTCATTATGTTGGAACAATTTCCACGCGAATATGTCAGCAGGCTTTCACGGCCTGCTGTCGCGTGGAGATCTAGTAGATGTAACGTTGGCTGCCGAAGGCAGATTATTACAAGCACACAAATTAGTTTTATCAGTATGTTCTCCCTATTTTCAAGAAATGTTCAAAATGAACCCAACTCAACATCCCATAGGTATGTATTGTTTTAACTGCTCTACAGTGTTTTAATTATGTTATATAATGCACCCAGTATACTAATAATATATTCTTTTGTTTCAGTATTTTTAAAAGATGTTAGTCATTCTGCGTTAAGAGACTTATTACAGTTTATGTACCAAGGTGAAGTTAATGTTAAGCAAGAAGAGTTAGCGTCGTTTATTAGTACCGCGGAACAGCTTCAAGTGAAAGGTTTAACCGGTAATCAAAATGAAGAAAGTTCCACGCCATCCAAACCAAAGCCGACGTCGAGGCCAGGCCCGAGGTCGTCACAACAAAGGCAATCTGTTATGACTAAGTTAGAGACTGATTTAGATTCTAAGCCCTCCTCAACTCCAGTAGCAATTAAGCGACCAAATAGGCCATCAATAGCATCAAACAATTCGTCATCTTCACAAAGTGGACCTGCGAAACGAAAATGTGTGGACCCATTAGAAGCCGGACCATCTGGATCGGCAAAAGAAGAATTCGTAACGATACCGGACGAAGATGAAAACAATGCCGTGGCACCGAAAATGGAACCCGAATTCGTTAATGAAAGTATGTGGGATGACGACGAAGAGGGTGCAAATAACGATGAAACTAATTTTGGCGAAGATGACTCTAATATGGAAATGACTGGTATGTTTTGTTCTCTACCGAATATTTTACTTTTTCTCGATCATGACTAGTATTAATTTGCCTATTTGTTTTAGGTTTTGATGGCTCTGCAACTGGCGATGGTAATATTTCTGCAAGTGGGGAAGGAGGAGCTGTAGGTGATGCACAAGGTAGGTTTGCAAATTCTTTTTGCAAGGCAGTTTCATCATGGTAACACATACGATTATGAAACTGTCTTTCCATTGTAAACGCACGTGATCAGTCTGTCTCATTTCATATTTTATTTTCCATTTAAATATCAGTATTGATCATGTGCGTTTTAGTTATAAGAATGAAATTTGTAAGTTAGTGTTCGTAAGTAGTGTAGTATAGTGTAGATATTTAGTAAAAATGGCTTCCTGTTCCAGGTTTTAATTTAGAGGTAATGCTACGCTAGATTACTTTCTACGTAACATTGTCTCCAGGTGTGTTCGCAATTGGTAATGGTATGTTCGTAAATGGTAAAGTAACAGGTCAGATGTTTGGGTAATAATGAAGATAACGTTACATTAGATTACTTTCTTTGTAACGCTATCTCTGATAAATTGGTAATTTTGGTAAAGTCGTTACATTGGTAACAGGTCAGATGTTTGGGTAATAATGAAAACGTTACATTAGATTACTTTCTTTGTAACACTATCTCTGATAAATTGGTAATTTTGGTAGTGGTTACATTGGTAAGGTATGTTTTCCAATTATTGTACAAGGTAGGTATGTGGAATAATTAGTATGGTAGGTAAGTACAACGTACACGCATCTAAGGTAAAATCTGATAATACCAGCTATGTTTAAATTGTCTGGTAAAATGTTGGTTTGAATATCTATAAAAATTGATCTGTGTATACTAAGGACACTTGTGAATGTTTTAAGGTATTCGGTTGTGAATTTAGTTTCTACCATATACATGGACAATGGTCTGAGCGGTCCCAATCTTTGTCTACCTATGGGAAAATTTGGTGAATACAGTATGAAGTGTTAAGCGGTAATTTGCCCTACTTGTCATTATGACCATTTTCCATGTCTTTCTATGTACAAATTGATTGACAAACTACCTACGTCGTAGTCTGATGTATAGGTAATATCGGTAAGGTTCGTTCAGACCAGCACGCTAAGGTTCTTTCTTACTATACAGCGTGGGCCGACTGAACTCTCCTTTACAGCACTACAGATAGAGCGGGAGCACATGATTCGTTGCGGCGCCGGACCAGTGTCCCTGCGTCGTCTTCCATAGAAATGTATATGACCTGTCGCACGATTCGCCCCGGCGCCGCACATCTTGTGCTCGCTCATATATTCATTCTAGTGTTGACGAACTATCGACAGTTTACATCGAAGATCATGTACCCATCGATAGAATCGATAGCTCAGAACAAGGCAATACTATCGATACTATTGCAGTTCGTTAATAACAAACTATTGATAGTAGCGATTCTTCTAAAGTTTGTGATTGACTTTAATACCTGAAAATTGTAAACAATACTATTGCAAATGGTTAAACTGTCGATAGTGTGGTTGCAAATAAAATCGACAGTATCTATACTATTGATAGTTTGTTATTAACGAGCTACAATACTATCTATAGTATTTAACTCGTCCTATAGTATTGGCTTTTTCTGTGCTATTGATAGTATCGATAAGCCGATCGATTGTCATACGATTGGTTGGATATCGATAGACTATCGACTATCGATCGGCAACACTAATTCATTCACCGGGTGCAATGACATTTATCAATGATACCGATCACAAGAATACTATTTGAAGCCAATATCTTGATGTTGTCAATGTAATTGACCCTGTATTTATTTTATTTAGATTCGATTTTGACCATTACGTTGCGTGTCGCCTAGTGTGCGCCTACACTAACACTTGGTCGTTTACCCGAATTCCATTGGCAATCTTATTCAGGCTAACGACCATGTGTATTTGAGCCATGTGACTGCAAAAGAATCTGGTAAATACAGGCCCAAACCTGTTTAGTTAACACATTGGTAATACCTAGGCAATATTCACTTGATATTTTCTATGCAATCCCGAATGCGCAGTCGGCAATGTGTCAAAAAAAAAATAGCGAGTCGAATTTTCCTTATTTCATTTGTAGGTAGGTACTACTTTTCTATTAATACTCAGCCGCGGCTGGTGAAGCTCCAGCCACGTAATAGATAATCGATAATATCTATTACGTGGCTGGAGCTTCACCAGCCGCGGCCGCGGCACGCTCTCATTAGTCGCTCGGCTCGCACTAAGTTTAAGTCACAACACTAATAACCTAACCCACTTGTGTACTCAAACGTTCATTGGTCTGTAATTCATTCGGTGAGAAAAAATTACCGACGTCATTGTTTATCCAACTGGTTAGGCTAGGTTATGTTTAGTTATCTCTATCCAAATCTGTTTATTTTACACATTGCTAGTGGGCCAGCAGGCATTACCTAGGCAAAGTATAAAATGGAAAATAATATTACATTGATTGCCTAAACGCCCAAGGCATTTTATACCTAGGTTATAGTATAGAATACCTCAATTATACATATTGACGGTAGCATATACAATTCATAAAATATAAATATAAACACTAAGTGTTTTTTTTTTCTATGGTATTAAACAGTTCAGGCAGATGATGCGCGAAGGTGTAATTAATTAACGTTAATGTAGTACGGATCCGATTCATCTCCCAAAGGTAGGTAGATAGCATGCATCCGTTCACGAGCATGACGCATACACCAGCCATCGCTTCGCTCAACCATATTTTAGGGAAAGTAACACAGGTACATATCTTGTAAGGCCGATTGTCATATCCACATAATTGCTTTCTATTTGATTTACCTCCAACCCAACCTAATCTCTCTAAAGCCCGTCACAGACGTAGCTATAATATATATTAATATGAATCATAGCAAGACATATTACAACATATTTTCAATATAAATTCTCGAGTGACCGCACACGCAGCTATAATATATATTTCTATGACGTCACCAAAATATGTCGACAGATATATTTTGGCATATTAGTGTATATTTTGGTATATTAATATATATTTTGATATATTAATATATATTTTGATATATTTTTATGATACGGTATGTTTCATTTTTCACCGAACGCCTGCCAAAATATATATTATAGCCGTGCCCCGCGGTTTCACCCGCGTTTTTCTCGTTTCCGTGCGTGGAAATACTGAGATAAAATATGCAAGCAAGCGCGCGTGGATTTCCTTAGCAGAGTTATTTTAGAAATGTATTTATTATACTCTTCAAAGATCTTATACTTACAATCATCAACAAATATATTTCGAAAAAGATTATTACAGGATTTTATGTTAATAAAAAACTCTATGGCCCATAACTCATTAATAGGTACCAACTCTTAACATCTTACTCACGTGATAACTTTTAAACGAAATATCCGATTGAGATGAAACAAAAAATATTTTACTTCTACATAAATACTCTTGATAACATAATGCTTGATTTCGATAAATATTAATATTACGATACATATTTAACGTAGTTTTTTTTCTTCAGACGATGTAATAATTATTTTGAACACAAAATCGGTTATTGTGATTAAACCATGATAGCTAGATATATGTTCTCGCAGACTTTTTTGTAGGTCTTAATGGGATCTACAAACCCGTAGTACATCATTTTGTTCTATTGTCAATAGCTTTTGCAGCGCACGCAAAAATAGGTTTTCGATTTTACACCTTGTGTTACAAAATAGCTATTTTATTACGGATCCCTAATTTTGAAAGAAAAAAATATAGCCTATAGCCTTCCTCGATAAATGGAATACCCAACACTGAAAGAATCATTCAAATCGGACCAGTAGTTCCAGGGATTAGCGCGTTCAAACAAACAAACTCTGCAGCTTTTTAATATTAGTATAGAAGTATAGATAGTACAGCTCCCGTCTGTGGCAGTTTGTATAATATAATCTCGATATATAAATATATATAGCTACGTCTGTGACGGGATATATTTTGGCATATTAGTATAATACGGAATGTTCAACTTCTATTTTTCGTTCCTGACAAGGCAACATGCATATCAAATTCAGCATCGGAATCATCCTCTGAGGAACTTTCAATTAAATTTAAAAGTAGTGCTCTAGTCGAATTCATTTCGGTAAGATCGATTATAACGTTATTTCAAAATTAAAACACCCTGTGCTAGAAAATAAGCTTTAAAACCGTGCGCTTGCAAAAACGACCGCAGACCGAGTGAGGGCAAAATATATATTATAGTGTAGCTCCCGTCTGTGGTAGTAGCTATAATATAATATATATTTCGATATATTAATATATATTATAGCTACGTCTGTGACGGGCTTAAAGCAAGAAGTGAAACGAAATAAAAATGAACTTTTCATTTCAATTCATTCTAATACCTATTCGCAACCAAATGGATCGATCGACCTTTGACGTAGCGGTTCATTATAAGTAGCTAGTGGTCGATTCTGGCATGATTGTAACTTAAATTTGACAAAAGCTTATCCTTGTCATTCTCTATACAGAATGAAAAGGAGAGACTGATGTAAAAGTTAGTTTTAAGTTTAGGAGAATCACGCCAGAATCGACACCATTAACTTTTTACCTAAGTAAAACGTTTCTACTTAAACGAGGTTTCCAGGTTCATTTCAGTTCAGCTATGTAGACACTTGAAACATAAAACTAAGTAGGTTCACCTATTTAACGACAATACTACGCCAAATTTATTCGTTGAAATCGCGATAGGTACCTATGTGTCAAAAAATCGTTAAAGTATTAGTGCGAAATGTGAAACTCCCGTTATTTAGTAGAAAAACAATGTTTATTAAACTAAATATTCGCATTGAAATCAAACAAGACATTCTTAAATTACTAATATTCGTTAATTTAACATATTGTTCGCCGTAGAGAAAAACACAATACAGATGGATGTAAGTATAACATAACAAGTAGGACATACACGCGTTACTAGATGGCGCTACTAGTTTTTAGGGAAGCGATAGATTCGTCTTTTTATGAATAACAGCAAAATATCCGATCTTTCACAGAAAATCTATTGGCCAGGACTGATTGACATTTGCCATAGTGATTAAGTTGACGTTTGCCTTTGCGCACCATCTGCCTGAACTGTTTGACACC